TTATTATTGAAAACTCTTAAAGATTTGCCAACACTGGTCTGGGAGAAGTCCTGTTGCTGGTTCAGTGTGTGTGTGTGTGTGTGTGTGTGGTGTGTGTGTGTGTGTTTTCCAAAATTTTTGACAGGGAATCATAGTAAGAAATATTTTGGGGCCAGGGATTTAGCTCAGTGGCGATGTGCCTGCCTTGCAAGGACAAAGTCCTGAGTTCACTCCCTGGTACTGAAAAAAAGAAAGAAAGAAAAATATTTTTATATGTCCAATCCAAGACACACATGTGAGTGTGTATTTTACAAACACACACTCATTTTTTTAAGTTAGTGTCTTCACAAAAGGACATTTACCCTTACTGTTACTCATATTTTTATTCTACTTATTTCACTTTACACACACAATCATGACCCACTAAATCAATTTTAAGACCTTATAATGGGTTATCATCCTTGGTTTGGAAAATAATTTTTCAAGGGTAGCCAGTATCATGTTTATTCCCTGTTGGGACAGGGTGGGAGGGAGGCAGCTTTCTTATAAGTCATACAATACAGCTGTTGAATAGGCAAGTCTTACCTCTCATTGGGTTCTTTGGGCTTCTTGGGGGAAGGGGAGAGTGGCTTAGTAACAGGCTTATGTTCTCTCTTCCCACACCCAGCAAGTGCTGTGAAACTTAATAAGCAGCAGACGGACATCGCTGTGAATTGGGCCGGGGGCCTGCACCATGCAAAGAAGTCCGAGGCATCCGGCTTCTGTTACGTCAATGATATCGTCTTGGCCATCCTGGAACTGCTAAAGTATGCCTGCCTGGCCTTGTCCTTTGGAGGAGCAATTTAGGCCAGGTTCCCACTTTCCTCTCCCCATGGGCTTGCCTCCCTAGTTTGCTTTTCCTACGATGTGCTGGCTAGGATGTGTTCAGTGAGTGTCTCTGGCCATCCTCTCCTTGCTGGGGTCTTGGTTTGATCTGAGCCCACGGAAAGATCAGGGGCAGGCGCTGCTCAGATCCTACCTCCAGAGTGTCCCTGTGTGGCCGGAATTGACCCTGGCTGTAGAGTAGGAAGATCGGACTTGGTCGGCTTGGTCAGGCCTCTGGAGACACCCTGCCGCTCTTCCACCTTCCTTCAGCCAGTTTCCACGTCTCTGGTGCTTAGAGATACCTGAGGGAGGCAGCCAGCCCGGTAAGCTGGGACCTGGCGCCCTTGGCGCGTCCCATCCCCAAAGAGCCCCCAGACCCCTGACACCCTTCTGATCCTAGGTATCACCAGAGAGTGCTGTATATTGACATTGATATTCACCATGGCGATGGCGTGGAAGAGGCCTTCTATACCACAGACCGGGTCATGACTGTGTCCTTTCATAAGTATGGAGAGTACTTCCCAGGAACTGGGGACCTACGGGTGAGAACTCCCTTTAGGGGCCAACCACCTCAGCCTCACCTGCCAGCTCTAACTCTCCTATCCTATGCCACTAAAAACCACTTCCTGCCTCTTCTGCCATTTAGAACACCACACTCCAGTCTGGGGCACCTGGCACAGTTTCCTTCCTTCTGGAGGAAGGGAATGATGGTACCCACGGGGTCAAGAGAAGGGTGGAAGTCACCTGACACATACTTTCCTTCTGGCCACAGCTGGGTTGCATCGCACTATTCTTATATTCCGTAAAGCTTGTGTGGGGCTAGGGATTAGGGCTCCTGGATCATCTCAAGGGTTCTTAACATTTTTAGGTCACCTTCCCCTTTGGCCATATGACTCAAAGTGATGGACTCTCCCCAGAAAAGCATATAAAATAATAGTAAACAGACATCTTCCCTTGCTGAAATTACTCAATTGAACTGTTTCATCTGCTCTCTTAGAATGAATACAGTGAAGTCGGATATTTGCCATGCTGGTAGCCCTTTGGTGAAAAAGTGGCACTAATTCAGTTGTTTGCTAGAGCAAGCATTAGAATAAGTGAGCATTTACTATTTTGAAGTTGGTCAGAAGAAATTCCCCTCTTGCTTCCCTCCATCCCTCCCTAGAAAGGAGCGAATCAGGGTAGAGAAAAGGGTTGTTAGAGGTGGGTGTTATTTCTGTGACCCAGCTGTTGGCCAGCTCTAAACCAGTCCAGAGGCAGAGATCTTGTGCTCTGGGATAAAATATTCAATCTCTGGCCCAATAAACAGCTTGCAGTCTCGGTGCAGGCTCAGTGATTCGTGCAGAAATGTGAACTAAGCTTGTCATGAAGGGAAAAACTAACTGAAGTCCCCTGCTCTGTCCTGGCCCACCTCATGGGCTCAGCTTGTATCTCTGAGAACTACCACTTCTTTCCTTAGCCTTGCACCCCCTATCTTTGAACTCCCTCCTAGTTTCATCTTTCAGTTTTACTTTAATGTCCCTCTTGATTAGGATATTGGGGCTGGCAAAGGCAAGTATTATGCTGTTAACTACCCACTCCGAGATGGAATTGATGACGAGTCCTATGAGGCCATTTTCAAGCCGGTAAGTGACTTTATCCACCCCTTGGGCTACAAGTGGGATTGATCTAGGGGAAGGGTAGCCAAGTACCTCACCATACCTCAGGAGTCTCACCTCGCTATGGCTAACTGGGAAATGAGGTATTTCAACCCAGGATCATAGGGTGGTCAGTTAGGGGAACCAAAATCGTTCAGTATTTGTTGATGTCTTCTGTTGATTGGGCCCTCTACTGGATACAAGAATATCTAAAGTATAATCTTTGTCTTTACAGTCTGTGATAGAGGGCATACCCAACAGCATGTGACCAATATTGTTTTATATCCATTTCTTTGGGGTCAGTGCCTAGGACAGTGGTGGAGAACCTACGGCGTGCATACCACACCCAGCTGTTTATTATTATTGAAAACTCTTAAAGATTTGCCAACACTGGTCTGGGAGATTGTTGTGTTCTTTTGGTGGTGTTGCGTTTCTTGGGTTCAACTCGGATCAGACTCGGGACCTTGAGCTTTCGAGGCAGGCACCGGAACCACTGAGCTAAATTCCCAGCCCCGCTAGGTTTTTCATACTCCTTTTGCCTTATTTGATATCTGTACATTTGAAGAATAGGGACTTATTCCAGACTTTGCAGACTGGCTTTGTCTGGGAAAGCCCTTCTAGATATTTGAGGAAGGCTGTCTGGCACGCTCTGCAAGCACGCTTGCTGCTGGAGTCCTCAGGCAGGCTGGCCTGGTGCCTGTGTTTTTGAAGGATGAGCAGGAGTGATGAACTGCTGCTTGGGTTGGGGAGAGGGTTGTCAGGGGTGAGTTCACAGAGGTGGTGACATTTGAGCTGGACTTTGAAAAATGAGGTACCCATGTGAAGAAGGAGGTGGGGACTGAAGGGATGGGATTTGGCAGAGGGGACAGCACCAGCAGAAGTAGAGATGTAAATATGGAGTGACTTGTGGGCCAGTATGATGTGGGAGAAGGTAAAAGGAGGTAATAGAAAATGGATTTGGGGGTCCATATTTCAAAGGAAGGCTTCAACACCATGCTTAGGAGTTAAATCTTTAGGGCTGGCGATTTAGCTCAGTGGTTCCGCTGTCTGCCTTGCAAGCACAAGGACCCAAGTTCAATCCCCGGTACCAAAAAACCAAAACAAAACAGGAGTTAAATCTTTATAAGCATTGCGAAACTATAATAGAGTACTAGTCTAATAGGGTCAAGTAGTTACTCAGCAACAGGTACCTACTATATGCCTAGTAGTAACTGTGACAGAAAAGTCTGAGACCATTCTCTGTCCTCAGTAAACTAGACTGTAGTTATAATACTACTGTATACAAAAGTAAAGTGCTTCCTCTCGAAGGCCTAAAACCTATAAGGCAAATGAGTAGGCCAGATGGAGCCAAGGATTGAAAAACTTCCTAAAGGAAGTGGCACTGGAGCTTGGGCAGTGAAAGAAAGGAAAGATTAGGGAGTTGACAGGAAGGCCATTCTACGTGCAGGGTTATTGGAGCTAAAAGTGTCTTAGTCTTTCAAATTGGAAAACTCCCTTCTCTATACCACACAGCATGAAGGCGAGTGGGAAGGTAGGAGTGGATGATAAGGAATAGAAGAAAGTGCTGTGCCCACCCCTGAACCTCACTTAGCTTTTCTTGAGGTTGATGGTGACCAAGATGTGTCTTTTTAGGTCATGTCCAAAGTAATGGAGATGTTCCAGCCTAGTGCAGTGGTCTTACAGTGTGGTTCAGACTCCCTCTCTGGAGATCGCCTGGGTTGCTTCAATCTGACCATCAAAGGTGAGGTGTAGTACAAGTGTGGGTGGGCAGGGTTTGGCTAAGTGTTCCTCTAACTCAGCAACCTCCTTTCCTCCAAAGGGCATGCCAAGTGTGTGGAATTTGTCAAAAGCTTCAACCTACCTATGCTGATGCTGGGAGGAGGTGGTTATACCATTCGTAATGTTGCTCGGTGCTGGACATACGAAACAGCTGTGGCTCTAGACACAGAGATCCCTAATGGTAATAGCTCCAGGGCCAGGTTGGGCTGGGTGGGCACTGCAATATGTCCTTACGATTTGAGGCCATAGCTATCAGTTTTTCTCTATCCATTTGGGGGCAGGGAGGTGCAGGGTCTCCCTTAGTAGTTCAGGCTGGCCCTGAACTCACTATGTAGTCCAGGCTAGCCTTGAATTCAGAGCAACCCTCCTGCCTCAGCCTCCCGAGTGCTGGGATTAAAAGCTTGCAAGCGTGTGCCACCACGCCCAGCTCCCCCTATCCTTTTTTGAGTCTGTCTCCTCTCCCTCTTGATTTTGTAGACCTTTTTTTTTTTTTGGTACCAGGGATCGAACTCGGGTTCTTGCACTTGCGCAGCAGGCGGCGCAACCACTGAGCTAAATCCCCGGCCCTTCCCTCCTGATTTTGGTTTGGACAAGATTATCAGTGCTTATTTACAGCTTTGGAATTTCTACTCTATAGGGTAACTGAGAAGTGAAGGGAGTACTCATGAAGAACATTACTTAAAAGTGTCCTTGGGTCTTCCCCTTCTAGTGACACATAACCACTAGTGTGGACACTGGAGAATGGAGTTAAAAATACTAAAATTCAGGCCGGGGATTTAGCTCAGTGGTTCCGCCGCCTGCCTCGAAAGTGCAAGGACCCAAGTTCGATCCCCGGTACCAAAAAAAATACTAAAATTCAGGCCGGGGATTTGGCTCAGTGGTTTCACCGCCTGCTGCGCAAGCACAAGGACCCAAGTTCGATCCCCAGTACCAAAAAAAAAAACAAAACTAAAATTCTGTAGGTGCCCAAGACTCCTACTATCAAAGGCTTTCTTTTATTTTTTGAGTCAGGTCTCACTATGTTGCCCAAGTTGGTCTTGGGATCCTATGAGCTCACTGATCCTCCTGCCTCAGGAAGATCCAAGTAGCTGGGACTATAAGCATATGCCACCATGTCTGCCATTCTTCTCTTTCACAGATAGGTGAACAGACCTAGAGAAACCTACAAATGGTTTTCTTTGGGTCCTGTGGTAGCCAGGTCTCTGACTCTTCTCTCCTGCCCCAATCAGAACTTCCATACAATGACTACTTTGAATACTTTGGACCAGATTTCAAGCTTCACATCAGTCCTTCCAATATGACTAACCAGAACACTAATGAATACCTGGAGAAGATCAAGTAAGTATACCACTGGCTGCCCCTCGATTGAAGGTTTTAGGCTCTGGTTTGTCCTGATTGGAGCCTAGCCATCCTCTCTCCTATTGGCCATAGACAGCGGCTCTTTGAGAATCTGAGAATGCTGCCCCACGCACCTGGGGTCCAAATGCAGGCAATTCCTGAGGATGCCATCCCCGAGGAGAGTGGCGATGAGGACGAAGAAGATCCTGACAAGCGCATCTCAAGTAAGACCCAGACGCTTGTACCTTCTCACTCAATAGACAGCTCTGACTTGCCTCCACTGTCTGGCTCACCATTTCCTCCAAGGTGCCTCTAGGTATTAAACCCAGGGCCTTCACACTGAGCTATGTCCCTAGCCCTTTATTTATTATTTTATTTATTTTTATTTTTTGGTACTGGGGATTGAACTCAGGATCTTATGCTTGCAGGGCAGGCGGTGGTACCACTGAGCTAAATCCCCGGCCCTATTTTTATTTTGAGTCAGGGTCTCAGTAAATTGTCCAGGCTAAGCTGGAATTTCCAGTCCTCCTGCCTTAGCCTCCCAGAGTGCTGAGATTAGACATGTGCCACCATGTCCCACTGAGAAATTTAAGTATTGAGTGGGAACAAGTTAGGGAATCTGAGTCCTCCCCCTTCTCTGTCCCTTAACCTGGTGTCTTAGAGGAGGCAGAGGGAAGCACTGGGCATAGATCCTGAGATAAACAGCCCCCTGCTGTCTCACCTATACTTTCCATTCATTGCCTTCCAGTCTGTTCCTCTGACAAACGAATTGCCTGTGAGGAAGAGTTCTCTGACTCAGATGAGGAGGGAGAAGGGGGCCGCAAGAACTCTTCCAACTTCAAGAAAGCCAAGAGAGTCAAAACAGAAGATGAGAAAGAAAAAGACCCAGAAGAGAAAAAAGGTGGGTTTGGGTTGGGCCAGGATTTGGCCCTGGAGGGTGAGGAATCTATGTGGGGCACCAGGAGGAGGGAGCTCCTGTGGGGCTCTTAACTCAGCTCCTTGCGCGTTTTTGTGGTTCCCAGAAGTGGCCAGGCCCACAAAACAATGAAAGTCATTTCTACTGGCTGATTGAGCCTGCCTCTCACATACCACCCGAGCCTTTTTCCCAGCACATCACCCGTTTCCCAGGGGGTTGCCTCCTCCCACTGGGTTCTGGCTCTTACAGGCTGGGAAACCGGTCCAACCTGTTTGTTGCAACAGGGCTCACTGGGAGGACATGGGATGGGTTTTTCTCTTTTCTGTGTCCACTTTGCTGTAGTTTTGGGGAAGGAATTTTAGGGTAAGTGAAGACCTAAACTCTTTCCAGAGGGGCTGCCTTTGGTGATCCCTGCATTTTTCTGTTCTAGAGGTCACAGAAGAGGAGAAAACCAAGGAGGAGAAGCCAGAAGCCAAAGGGTGAGGAAGGAGCTCTCTACCATCTCCCTGGCACTGGAGCATCAGCCCCTTTGTCCCACCACTCTGAGAGGGAAGGCACAGGGACAGCTGGTCCAGCTTACAAAGGCTTCTTTCAGGGGCCAGTCATTCTCTGCAGTTCTAGGCAGAGCTAGGAAGTCCCAGCCCCCAGCAGTCACCTGGACACGCAGGGTGCTGTGGAAGTCATTGTGTCCCACAGTTTTGCCTCAAGGCCTCTGAGATGGGTTATCTTACGCTAGTTTCTGCTCTCTCCACAGGGTCAAAGAGGAGGTCAAGATGGCCTAAGCAGACCTCTCCAGCTCGGGCTTCTTGCCAAGTTCCCTACCTTTCTCCAACCCCTCAGATTTTATATTTTCTATTTCTCTGTATATTTATATAAAGTATATTAAATATAAATGTCCTTAGGGACTAGATAGGAGCCAGGGCCCTTGAGTGCAGGGCAGCTATGCTGAGGGAACTCTTCTAGTAGCTGTCTTGCTCCCCATCCTTCCCCAAGTTTTAGTTTTAAACCATAAAGGGTACAGATTTGGATGGAAGCAATGCAGCCATAAGACAAAATCCTGGCATGCTGAGGGCCTCCTTTGTAGCTTTGGAAAAGGAACCCTGTTAAGTGTTCTAGAAGGGATGGATGCGTCTTCAGGGGCCCCCTGTTCTTTGGGCTCCTAAGGTAACATCAGCCATTTTTAGATTGGTTCTGTTCTCATAACTTCACACTGGCCCCAAGTGAGCTAAGAAACTCACACTGCCCTCTTGTCTTCCCCCAGTTCTGCAGGTGGAGGTTGGTAGCCTAGCTTCATTTTTTTGAGACATTTTCATTTTTGTGAGACTCTTTGTAATAAAATGGTACATTTCTATATTCTCCTGAGCTTGTTTCCTAGCAGTGTCCCTGGGTTGTTCTCAACACTGCACCTCATATCTTTTTTGGGTAACCCACACACACACAAGTACATGAACTTACCTGCCTTCTTAGTCCCGCCCCTGAGGTTTCCACCAGTTTCCTCATCTTACCCCCAGAAGACCACACTCATTAAAGCACCACTAAAGGGACAACATTTATTCCTTTTCCAAATGTTACAGTAAAACCAGGTGGAAGAGAATGGTTTTAGCAATTAGAAAAAAAAAAAGTACAAATCTGGGGTTTGGCCATTAAAAGTTATTTACAACAATGGGGGAGGAAAAAAAAAAAGACAACAAGAAGTTGTTTCACATTACAGACCTCCCTCCCACCCAAAGCCTAATACTTGCTTACCAAGTCAGAAAAGAGACAGTTGATTCACAAGCTGGAGGTTTGAACTTGAGTAAGACATTTATAAAAACCTAGACGGGGTAGTGTCCTCCCCAGCCCAGGTGCCACTAGGCACAGCACAAGAGACTAAAAAAACTCAACATGGCTGGACACTCAGGGTTTGGGAGTGTAAGCACCCCACTTCTGGCTCAGGGATCTGGGGAGCAGGATAAACAAAATCTACTTGGAAAAGAACCGGGAAAAAACCAGCAATTGCCTTCTGTAGGGGAAGGGACAGGGAAGGAGGTAGGGCCAAGGACAGGAGCATTTCACATCACTAACCTAACTTGGGAAACTGTAAGGGACCATCTTTAACTGGCCCTAAGAGGAAGACCAGATGGCTGATGGGAGAATCCACAGGAGGGAGAGGAGAAGAGGGATGTGGCTGGGAGGGGGCAACAAGCCCCTTCCTTTCTGGGCACAGGAAGGCAGCCAGGGCACCAGGTCCAGGCAGTGACCTCACAAGGACAGCACAGTTTTTGCAGCTTAGAGATCACCCACCTGCCCCCACCCAGCTACTCATTCTGCTCAGTGCTGGCCGGCGCAGGGTCACTCTCAGGCCCCGAGGGAGTAGACGGCTCTGCGGCCTGGGGCCCCGCCTCCTCTTCAGCATCTCCTCCCTTGGCGGCAGCACTAGCCTCTGCCCCCTTGGCCTGGGGCTCCTGACTCTCAGGGGTGGCAGCAGCCTTCCCTTCCTGGGCAGTGCCCTCCTCACTGCAGGCACCGATCTCCCCCTGCTCCTGCTCTTCCTCTGTGGGTGAGGAGGCAGAAGAATCCCCCCCACCCTCCTTCCGATTTCTCTTGAAGGACAGGCTGCTCAATTTGAAAGGCTTCTTGAAAGAGAATTTCTTCTTCTTCTTGGGGGTCTCCTTGGGGGGGGCCTCCCCCTTGGCCTCAGCGCCCTGGCTAGGGGGTGCTGGCTCGATGGCATCGCCAGTGGCCCCAGCTGCCTCATCTGTTCCGTTCACCGGGGCGACTCCCCTTCACCCTTGGGGGACAAGTCTCCATTGCTTTTCACGTGGCCATTCTCCTGCAGGGCAGAGGAGACAGTGAGGGCTGGGGCTCATCTCCCCCTCCCCCAGTGCACTTCTGGCCCCTTGCGAGCAACGGGGTCCACCACTCGGGCCTACCGCTTTAGCCTCGCCCAACACTCGGGATCCCTTCAAACATCGTCCTTGCGCCTCACGGGCGCGCTGGGACATCGCGGCCGGCAGGAGGCGCTGGGGTCCCGGGGTCCCCACCCCTCCTCCCCCGGGGTGCGCTCTGTATTCCGCGCAGAACCGCTCCGGGCCGCGGATCCCGGGGAGGCGGGCGGGCCGTGCTAGACGACATTGGGCGGGAAGCCGCCCCGGGGCGCTGCCTCTCTGCACCTGGACGGCCTATTTTCTCAGCCTCTGGCTTTGTGTAAACGGCCCCCACCCACCACAGGCCCTCCTCACATCTCGGGCTCCCCTCTTCAAAAAAGACCGCGGGCCACCGAGGTTGGGTCTTCGGGTGGAGTGCTCTCCCTCCCGGGCAACCGCCTCGAGGGCCCTGGGCGCCCCCTTGGCGAGGCCCAGCAGCGCCTTTGTTCCCCGCGCCGCACTCGGGGCGGCCGAGGGGCAGCGCCGGGGGCCGGGGCCGCTAACAAAGAAGGCGGCGGGGCCCGGCCAGCCAGCCCCCCCCCCGCCCCTCCCCTCGCTTCACCCGCGGGGGCTGCGGCGCCGAGAACAAAGGGACCGGGCGGGGGAGGGGGCGCCGCATGTCCCGGGCCGGACAAAGCGCAAGGCCCCGGCCCAGGGCCCCAGAGGGGGCGAGGCGCGAGAGGAGGGGGGACGGGGCCGGCCGTGGCAAGCGCACCCACCTGTCCGTTGGCCTTCGCGGGGGAAGCGCCTGCTGCCTCCTCGGCCGTCACGTCGCCCCGGGGAGCCTTAGAGCTCTGGCTGCCCATGATGGGGGTCTGCTGAGGGGCGCGCGGAGCCGCCCCGGGCTCTCGCCGCAGGGGATAGTTCGGCGGGGTGGGCCCGGCGGGCGGAGGGGTGGGGCTGGCGCCTGAGGGGGAGGGGTGTGTGGGGGGAAACTGAGCTGCACCCTCGCTCCGCGGCGGACCCGCTAGCTGCGCCCGCCACCGCCGCACTCCGCGCCAGAATGCCGCCCGCCGCCCGCCGAGCCGCCTATATATATGCGCCCAGCGCTCGGGGCGGGGCCGGACATTTAAATGAGCGCCCAATCGAGGGGCAGAGGCGGAGTTGGGTCCTGGGCCCCACTTGCGTAGTGGGCGACGCTGGCGGTCTGGTCCCCCCATCCCACCCGACCACAGGGTCAGGTAGGACTCGGGGTGGGAAGGAGTGGCGCGGGTGCCCAGCTAGCTGGACGGGGAGGGCCACTGGCAGTCATTCCCTACCCTCACCACCTCCCTCCCAGGGTGGGCACCCCGCATCGCCAAGGAGCCCCACATCCTGGGTACTACGCTGGCTGCCCCCTCTCTGTGCCCCTTTGAACTCTTCTCAGGGTTCATATGCTAGACTTGTCAGATGGCTGGTCCTGCATTACTCTCCAGAAAATGTGGTTCATAACAGCCTCAGGGGCAACACTGGGTTCAGTGCCCCCTCAGGCCTGGAGCCAGGTCAGAGGTTCCAGTCACTTCCCTGTAGGTCTTCCACGGCCGCAGGGGAGGGGAGCTAACTCGGGGTCACTCAGGTCAGACTAGTGAGGCCCCCGTTCATCATCCCTCCTCTCCTCAGTCCCTTGATGCCTAGTCATCCTGAGCCGGGACAGAGACATTCACCTGCCCCATAATCTACCTGACTTGAGTTTGGTGTCCCCACTCCCAGATCCCCCTGAACAGGCAACAGCTCCAGTGAGGAACTCAACAAACCTCCAACACTCCAGCTCCTGAAGGGGAGGGATGGGGTGCCGCCCAGGCTCCTCCTACATCTGTGACAGCCCTGGGGCACAGTCCTCAAGGCTGCTCAACCCACCTGAGAGCCTGGGGGCAGTGGCAGAGTGAGGATGGCTGGAGATGACCTCTGACCTCTTCCTTTCTCCTTCCTTGGCTGGCCCTGCATGTAGGTGCTCTTGAGTCTTGCTGCCTTCCTTCAGCCCCAAGAGGAAAGGGATGGGGCCTGGAGGAAGCAGTGTTGCAGATCAAGCCAGTGTCCAAGAACAGCTCAGCATGTCCCTCTGTCCCTCCCACGTGTGAGGCCTCCTGGGAGTCCTGAGGCTGTGAGGTGTAGAAACACCCTAGGGCCTGAGAAATCAGGAACTCCTGGTAGATCTGACCCCAGAGGGCCCAGAGGGCTGATAGGGCTTCTGCTCCTGTAAGCCTTCCTTCCAGCCCCCATACTGAGGCTACAGAATACTCTCACCTTCCTTAACAGTGTCCCCCCCCTTCATCTTACAGACTGGTGCAGAATGGGAAGGTGACATGCCCAAGGGCACACAGCAGCCAGTAGCTAAGCATGAGAAAGGCTTTGGAGAGATCTGGGCTGCAGGCTATGAGAAAACCCCTGGGAAGAATTTCCTACTGAAAAAAAAAAATTTCCTACTGAGATCTAGGGCCGCCCAGGGAGAGTAGGAGGCTAGAAGAGCTAGTTTGGGGACATGGATGGGCACCATATTCCCCCCTGCAGCTGACAGTACAGTGACTCCTCCACCCACTACCACTAAGTGATGGGCATCGTGACCCGCTGTCTGTCTTGGGCACAATAGGGAACCCACAATGCTGCCAGGTGGTGCCTGCACTGGCTGGCAGGGCTCAGATGGAGGATGTGTGACTTGTGGAGGGATTGTGGTTAGAGGTTAGGCTTCTGATCACACACTGCCTGGCAAGGATAAGAGGCAGATCTCCCAGAGAATTCCAGAGGAAGGAGGAACTTCAAGACTAAAAATGTCTGAGTGTCCGAGACCCTGTGGGAGCCTGGTCCACAAGGGAGATTCTGGATCCCCACCAGACATCTCAGGAGGCTGGGTAGGGGGCATCTGGGATCCAATCCCTTTGCAAATCCAGGTCCCAGAAGAATCTGACTTCTGAAAAAAGGAAGAGACTTGGGATGCTGGGGGCGCGGGGCAGTGTGCAGCAGCCCCCACGGCCTCCTCTGTCCACACTGTGGCTCCTTCCCAGCTGCTGCCAACCCAGACAATGCACCCATTGTTCTGTGTCTCCGGGAGCCTGTGTGCAACTGTATGTGTCTGTTTCTTTCTGTATGTGACTGTGTGTGTCTATCGCTCTGTGTCTGTCTGTGAGACTTTGTGACTGTGTGTATATGTCTGTGTGACCAGGTGTGTGTGTTTGTGGTTGTACAAATCTGCATTTCTGTGTATTCAAGGGCAGGAGATAACCTTGGTGACATCGGGTGACTGAGAATTTCTGGGTGTGTTGGTGACTGTGTCTGACTGACTGGGTGTGACTGTGAGTGCGCAGCTGGGTGAGAGGACACCTCAGTGTGGGGATGGAAGAGTACCTACATTGTGTGTTCCCACTGGGCAGCTGTGTGTACCTCAGGGGTCACTGAGGCTGTGGTGGTCAGAACCTTGGACATGTTAGCTTTTGCCAAGATGCAGTGACAGAAAAAGGAGGGAGGGAAAAGGACAGATGACTGGGATGGATGGGGGAAGGGAAGCCTCAAGGACCAGAGAATCCATGCTCACACCACATACTCACCTGTTCTGGTTCTGGTGAGACCTCAGATCCTGGCCCTGGGGAATGAATTTCCTGGTGGAATCCTGGGGCTCTAGAGAGATGGGCAGGGCTGAAGGTGGAAGAAGGACAGAAAATAATGCTGCCCCATAGAGGAGGGGGACATTTGGAACCTCTGAGACCCCAGGGATCAGGTTAGATGCCAGGTGAGGTGTGGTAGGCAATACCTAGTCAAATGGAGGGATCTGCCTGTGTGGAGGCTTCACCAGGGGAAGAGACCTGAAAGCAAGGCTGGAGCCTGCTGCAGGTCCTGGGGAATACAACTTGGCCAAGCCCCGTTCCCCATGCCAGGCTTCTCATGTCTTCCTGAGGGCATCAGCTCAAATTGGAGACCTCAGTTCTGACCCAGGTCTGTCTTTTGCTCTGGCTCTGAAAGCTGGTCCTCTCTTCTTTGGCCTCAGTTTACTCATCTGTACAGTGAGAGGGTGGGCCCCTGATTCATGCTCACTCACGAAGACTTTCTGGAGTCCCTCTTTCAGCTCACACATAGGGACCAGTAAGTGGTGACTCAGGCAGGGTTCCTTCCCTAAGGAGTTTCACATCTAGCAGTAGAAAACAACCAATGCCAGGGGGGAAGATAGAGCCGGAAGCAGGGCTCTATGAAGAGCCTGTGGGTACATGAAGAGGGGCCCATGGAGGAAGAGTTAGGAGAGGATAGAGTGGGAGCAGTGAAGGTTTGGGAGATGAGATCCTAGGATTCAGGGACTGGCTGGGTGCAAAGACAGTGGGGACAGGAGGTGATGTTACTACTGCCTGTGTTTCTGTCTTGAGTGACAGCTGGTGGAGGGGACTTATTGCCTGGGGTAGGGCATCAGAGGGGAAAGAGCTTGGGGGAATTGCTGAATTTTACTTGAGTTTGCTGGGCGCGGGGGACATTCAGGGAGAATCAGGAGGTAGCCTGTAGTCTGTATGCTTCAGCACACACACACACCGGATCACATTTCCTGAGCCAAAGGCCAGTGCCCAAAGTCTGACTAGTGACCTTCCAGAGACAACAGACAGAGGTTTTAAATCAGGACTGACCCCAGGAAGTCTGGGCCTCTTGTCAGTGCCGAGAAGCTAGTAACTGCAGCCACGCAGTGCATGAGGTCACCCAGGAAGTACCTGGGCAACAGGAGCACCGAATGGGTGGGGCAGGCAGCTGCAGAGAGGCAGGAAGGACCCAGCAGCCTGGGAACAGTAAGAACCCCAGTGTAGAAGCATGGAGATCCCTGAGCCCTGGTGAGGCTTGTAGAAAAGCAGGAAGGACCAGCAGCCAGCATAGATTGTGTGCTTGCTGTATGCCAATGCCCTGTGCCCAGGGCTCTCCATATATCACCTCAGTGCCTGGTGAGGTGTGCACCATCTTTGTTTCCATTCACAGAGGAGGAATCATACGCAGGGAGGGGAGTGTTGATAGGAGCGGAACAGCAGGTCAGGACTAGTGGAAAGTAGTCTTCAGGAGCTCTGAGAGCACCTTGGCGCTTGCCTAGGCTGGAGGCATCCAGAAGGGTGCTTCAGCTGACAGGAGCAGTCAGGGGAGTCAAAAAGTGGTGGCAGGGCCAGGACCACCACAGCCTGACTCCCAGAAACAAAGCTGCTTCTCATGGGCCTGGGCTTCTTACCAGCCTGCTGGGTTCTGGCTTGGTTGTCAACAGGACCCAGGTCTGCAGACTGCCCACCAATTACAGGCCTTGAATCCTGGTCCAGACCCTGGGTCCCCTCAGGGGCCTTTTACTGGAACCCACCATCCAGTCACCAAATTACAAGGACAGGAATTCTGAAAATTCCCTTTCAGAATTTTAGACCAGCCAGAGCTTCCCCTTCCTGTCCCCTTCCCTTTCCCTGGAGTGTGTGTGGCGGTAGAGAGGGAGTGGCTGGGATGGCTGAGTAAACTGGGTGGAGCCCAGACACAGCCCAATGGCGATGTCTCTCTCAGCTCAGTCCCAAAAGCGCAGAGGCCGGGCTCCCAGCTCACCTCTTCACCTCCCCCAGGCTTGATGAGGTCACCAGAAATTCAACCTATTCAACCCCATTTATCTAGGCTGCTCTGAGCCTCTCTCCCCTTCCCCCCAACTTTCAGTTTCTTTTCAGATCCTGGGTGCCTTTGAGAAAGGAATGGCCAAACCTAGAGAATGTGGATTGTTTATAACTTTCCATTTGAAATCCCCCACTAAGGGGAAGTCCCTTCGAAAGGGAAACTGAATCTCCCTCTCTGTCCAGTCCCTAGCCCCACCCCTTCCTCTCTACCTGCTTGACCTTGGCCTCTTGCCTATCCCATCCCTCTGAGTGATTTGGGCCACACTTCTGCTACCTTTTGGCTTTTAAATTCTTGCCCCAGTGAGCCTCACTCTGGCCGCTCTGCAAAACAGGCTGGGAGCCACTGTGTTGAGACGCTTGCAGCATCGAAGAGCGGGTTCCACACCATGAGGCTCTCTGAGCCTCAGCATCCTCAACCATAAAATGGGAATGGCAAGAGTACCCATTCTGTGCCAGCCATTGGGAGATAAACTGGTTAATATTCCCAAAGAAAGCCCTGAAAACTGAGCCTGGGGTGCAGAGCACCCCAGAGACATTTGATAATGTTCTTGGGGGCCATTATGTGAAATTGTGAGGTCAGGGTCTGTCCCAAACAGTGCAAAACAGTGCGTCCATTCCCTTTCCTTTCCTGTCTGACCGCTTGCGGGGAGAGGGTGGACGGTCCTGAGACAACTTGCGGCCCATCCATCACCTTTCTTTCCAGGCCAAGTGGCAGAGGGACTGATCAGCTGTTCTAAGTATGTTCAGTTGTCCAGGGGAGATTTATTTGGTTTCAATCAGTTCATTAAATGCTAAAGGAATATAATATGCCTTTCCCCAGAACGCGGAGGATTCAACACCTCTGCTCTCTCTTTTTGAACTTACTATGTTGCCCAAGGCAATCCTCCTGCCTCAGCCTCCCAAATGGTGAGATTACAGGCATGAGCTGCTACACCCGACAACCCCTCTGCTCTTAAACCCCTGAAGGACTCTCGAAGTGAGGTGGCCCAGAGAAAATGCTTTAAGAGCCACCTAACACACCTTTCATTTGTGCCCTTTCAGTTACCCCTTTCCTTTTTTGTACTGGGGATGGAAACCCAGGCCTTTACATTAATCTACCTCCCCAGCCCTTTTTTATATTTTACTTTGAGACAGCATCTTGCAAAGTATCACAAGCTACTGCAATCCTCCTGCCTCAGCCTCCCAGTGTGTTGGGATTATGAGTGTACCACCACCTCCAGCTCCTCCTTATATTTGCTTTTCTTTTTTTTTTTTGGAACGAACTCGGGTCCTTGCGCTTGCGAGGTAGCCGCTGAAACCACTGAGCTAAATCCCCAGCCCTATATTCGCCTTTCTATCTGCTTGTACAGGGGGACCTCACATCCCCAGTGACCCTTCCTCAGTGCCCACATTTGTAGGGTGTACCCCAGAGAAAAGATAAAACCCTCAGCCCTATTTCCCTCTTCTCTCCTCAACCCACAGAGCGTCAACTCTATTGGCTTCTAAACTCCTCAGGCTACTTGTCTCCCTCTGCCTTTGGGTCTTTTTTTGTTCTGAGAGAAGGTCCCAATATAGCAGGCTGGGCTTGAACTCATTGATCCTCCTGCCTCAGCCTCCCAAGTGCTGGGATTACGGCAGGCTCCACCACACCTGGCTTACCTCAGGGTCTTTGAACACCATTCCTCTGCCTGGAATGCCTGCATCGTTGCTGAATTTCAACTCTTATCTTAATAACCAGATCAAACCAGGAGCTTTCTAGATTCCCCAGGAGAAAGGAAAGACTCTTCCCCCAGGTACACAGCGTGCCTAGGGGTCCCGCTCAGCACTTCTCACTCTGTATCTATTCAGGTGCTCCAGCCAGGGTCTGGGTGCCTGATGCACCACACTGCCATCTGGGCTCATTGCTCTCCGTGTCTCCACCTCCACAACCCTCTCCCTGAGGAAGACCCTTCCATGCCTTGAGCTGGGCCACACCATCTTCTCTTCAGGTCTCTGCCACCACTCATGCCTCTCCAGCTCTTCTCTATTCTCTCGGCTTCACTTCCCAATAGAAGGTGCTAATTTCTTTCTTTTTTCTTTTGGTGCTAGGGATCAAACCCAGGACCTCATGAATACTAAGTAAGTGCTGTTCTACTTGATCTGTGCCCCCAGCCATTATTTATTGACAAGTGGGGTGAATGGTGAAGGAATGAATGAAGGAATAAAAGAAATGTAGGGCTGGGTGGGGGATTTAGCTCAGTGGCACTGTGCCTGCCTAAAGTGCAAGGTCCTGCCCGGGATTTAGCTCAGTGGTTTTGCCGCCTGCTGCGCAAGTGCAAGGATCCGAGTTCGATCCCCAGTACCAAAAAAAAAAAAAAAAAAGAAAGTGCAAGGTCCTGAGTTTGATCCCCAGTACAGGGGGAAAAAAAAAAAAGAAATGTAAAATCAAACATGTTTCCCTTGGCTTTAGCCCTTCTAGTGGCTCCCTACTACTCTCTGGAGAGTCTGTACCTTGCATTTAAGGTATTTACTATCAGATCCCCATTACTCGATCCAGCTCCAGGCTTCCAGCCATACTTTGCTGTCCCTCTTGCGTCCCCTCTGCCTGATTGTCCACCCAGGAAAAAGCGAAGCTTGCTGTAGTAATCCAGGCTGGAAAGGATGGGCCTTATTTCGGGCAGCTCTGTCTCATGGTTCCCTCAGTAGGATGGAACATTTTAGTCTGGGAATCCCCAAACTTTTCTCTACACTGCCCCCTCCGCCCGGAACACTGAAATTTGGCTGCTCCGCAAGCCACCTACCCAGTGCTGGTCAGGATACAACTCAAGGGACCTCCCCCACTCCAAGTGTCCCAACCCACCAGAGCACCTGCTGGCCCCCAAGCAGACTAGGTCACTACCTGAGCCCCTTTACTTTGCCTCTGCATGTCTCTGCCTTTCTTTCTATGGCACAGCAGTGGGGATTCATGGGTCGATGGGTGTGGGGGCAGCATCAAGGCATGATGGTGGACACTCCCCAGCCCATGGGTTCAGTCAACTCAGTGTGTCCCTCGGTACACAGAATATCCCCTCAATAAAGCAGAGAGAGGCCCAGAGAGGCAGAAGCTCATTTATTTGGAGTGTGAAGGGCAGGATCTCAGAGACCCCAAGAGGGAGATAAGGCAGATAATCTGAAGACAGGGGGCACTGAATTGTTCAGCACTCCTTCCAGCTCATCCTTGGCATGGTGCAAGTCTGCTTCGGGATCATCATGCAAAAAGCCTGAAGCCTGTGTCCCCAAATCCCTGAAAAACAGACATCTGTGACACTTCTCCTGAACCCCAGGGCACAGGGAGGATCGCTGAGCATGCCAGACAGCCTTAGCTCAAATCTGGCCCTGCCATGAACTAGCTGGTATCTTCCAGCAAGTCGTTGAATGGCTGTGAGCCTCAGTCTCCTCACCTGGGTACAACGGGGATACTGATGGCACAACCCACACAGATGAGGCTGAAAGAAGAAATATAAGCCAGGTGTGGAGGCACACACCTATTATCCCAGCACTTGGGAGGTTAAGGCAGGAGGACTGCCACAGTTCAGAACCAGCCTGGGCTACATAGTGAGTTCAAGGTCATCTGCACTGCAAACGAAGACCCTGTCTGAAAACAAATAAACAACAAAAACAAAAACCAGAAGAAGAAAGAGGAGAAAGAGATGAGGAAGAAGAAGGACAAAATGTACACGAAGTTCTAGCACAGTACCTGAAGAGAGTAAGGATAACATAAATGTTAGTTATATCATTACTGTTTTACCAAGACAACTGGGTTCTGGTTCCAGTTCTGCCACTGTTTTCATCTCTGCACCTGCCTGAGTTTCTGTCCATAAAGTGGGGTGTTGATGGATTAGATGAGATAACGGATATGACAGAGGCTCCTAAAATGAGCAATTGTCTCTGTCCTTTGAGGTTCGCCTCCCTAGGGTTGCCAGGGGTTGTCACCCTCCTGGTGTTGGGTCTACCAGACTCTGTCAGGCAGAGCTAGCTCCCACAGTCAGCACATTTCCTCCCCACTTCCCACATGGCAGAATGAGAGGAAAGGTCTGGGGTTGCCTCAGTGGGGACTGTGGTTAGACAGGAGGAAGGACTTCCTTCCTAACAGCAGGGTGCTGCCCTGGGAAGGAGCCAGAGGTCATGGGACTGATGCTGTCGGGGGAGGGGCTGCATCCAGGGAAATGGTGGGGCCCAGCTCGTAAGGCCAGATTTGGTCATGCAGTGAATGAACGGAGCTCAGCAATGACTTCACTTCCAGGGACTCTGGAACTTAATTAGACTTGCCCCAGGGCTCCCTAGACCACAGAGACAACAGGCAGACAGAGACATGGCAACACGGATTCCACAGGGCAGCAAAACTAGCCAGATGTATACTGTTCCCTCCACCCAGAGGCTGGAAATGGCTGGCCTTGCATCCTCCAAGCCTGGTTTAAGTTGCACCTCTAAGAAAGGACCTCCTGACCAACCTGTGCTCTCGGTCCGCAGTACTGACCCACTACATGTCAGGCACTGTTGTAGACTGTGACCAGAGACAGTCGCTGCTCATCCCATGTGCAGTAGCACCTGACCCAGTCCTGTTCTCCAACACAACAGGCCATTCATCTTTGACCCCTTTTTGGTACCGGGGATCAAACTTGCTTTTGAGGCAAGAGGCGGAACCACTGAGCTAAATCCCCGGCCCTTTTGACCCCTTTTTATGGCCTGTCTCCCCACCAGAGGTGCAAGGACCTCAATGGTTTGTTTCACTGATGTGAACCTAGCTGTTAACTCAGTGTATAAACCTGGCATAAGCCACTAAAACAGGACCTTGATAACTATTTGTTGAACAACACAGATCAGAGGACACACAGAGAGTGCTTCAAAGGGTGTTTCTGACCAGAAATGCACAGAGGCCAGGCATGGTGGTGCATGCCTGTAATCCCAGGACTCGGGAGGCTGAGGCAGGAGGATTGCTGCGAGTTCGAGGCCAGCCTGAGTCACATAGTGAGTTCAAGGCCAGCTTGCACTACATGGCGAAACTCTGTCTCAAAAAACCAAAAAAAAACAAACACAAAAGAAAAAGAAACGCACAGAGATGTGACGAACACAGGAACACACAGGATGATGCCAGGGCAGCTTTCCTTCCCTTCTGTCATTCATCTTGACCACTATGTCTTGGGCTGGAATCACTCCTGCTCTGGGGCTGCAAGCTGTTCCTTGATGCGATCTATCCTGGTTCCCAAACGCGGGCAATGGGCTCAAAACCGCAAAGGTGCAATCTCCGGCTCTGTTTTGCCCTCCCCGACAGCAGCTAGGCCGCGCCCCAGAATCCCCGCCCACCACAACTTGGCCGGCCCCCTACCGGCTCTCACGGGCGCAGGAAAACCAGGTGTCTCTTCCTCTTGCTCTGGAACTGGTAGTTAATATTCTGCCATCGGTGCTTCCAACTGGAAGGTGGGAGCTTTGAGCATACAGGATAGGGGCAAGGTTCCCCTACCTGCAGGTCTTCCCCCATTCCGCTTAGCCCCTTCCTTTCTCCTTTGCCCCAGGCCCGCCCCCTCCTGCGCCGGAGACTGCAATTCGAGGCTCTTGGGCTCTGCCCCTCTCTGGGACTCCTACACCCCGCTCAGCACACCCCCCGCCTTTCCCGGGGACTCCGCACGCTCACGTGAGGTGCGGGCGCGCGCCGTGGCCAGCGGGCCAGCTCGGCGACTGCACATCGGCCGGGCCGGTGGCCCCAGGCAGCAGCTCAATCCTGCGCGCCGACGGCCAGCCCTAGGCGGCGCTGGGTGGGCCGTGGCGCTGCGGACTCAGCCAGTAGTCACCCAGGATGCGGCGGGCGGCGGGCTCCGGCAAGGCAGGGCCCCGGCAGCCGCAGAAACACAGTTCCTGGTCCCAGCTCTGCAGGGGCGTGGCCCGAGGCCTCCTGAGGAGGGAGCCGGGCCGAGATCTCTCGGGGAGGGTGTGACGGGCGGAAGGAGGTGCCGCCTCGAATCGACCATGGTCGAGGTTACTCTTGGTCCATTCAGAGGGGTAGAGGGGGATATTGGAGCGGCCCCCCCATCCCTGCCTTCCAAATTCCCAAGTGCTGCTAGGGCCGTACGCTTTATCCCGTCGGCACCCTCCCTCAGACCCCCTCGCCAGGACAGAAGAAAATTCACCACAAATTGGACAGTCTTGGTGAAGAGCATGGTGTCCAGCCTGCTTGCCCCGGTTTCCCTCTCTTTAATACCTACCTGGGCGTGGAGGGGAGGCCTGAAATCCCATAGGCCTGCTGTTTTTGGTAGGAGGCATCAGTTGGCAGAGGGGGTTGGGGGCAGAGCTGGTCTCTCCTGAGGGGGCCTAGTCCTAGTCTGTCCTGTGCCCGCCCCCCCCCGCCCCCCCCCCCAGCTACTTCATTGGGAGAGTAGTCACCCACCGGAGCTTCAGATTCTCCGGCCCAAGGACAGACCTGTAAGGACAGCCAAGGGAGCAAAAGGGCGCCAAGGGCAGAAAGGTCAGCTGCTGGTTGGAGATCCTGGTCCCCAGCCTCCAGCTGGTGGTTATGTTCACTTGGAACCCACACCTCGGAGAGCCTCCTCCCTGACTGCAAAGTTTCAAACACACCTATGTCTAGAAAGAATAGAAAGAATCCCTGTCGTCCTGACCCCAAAGTTTAAAAGCCTTGCTCTAGGGGCTGGGGATTTAGCTCAGTGGTTTTGGCGCCTGCTGCGCAAGTGCCAAGGACCTGAGTTCAATCCCCGGTACCAAAAAAAAGCCTTGCTCTGGTACTCTTTTGGCTAAGGAGAAACAGGTTCAGAGAGGGACAGAGAAAACCAAACTTCCTACAAAGCATGAGACAACCTGTCTATGCCCTTGTCCTGCCTAGAGCATGGGGTTCAGGGCTCAGGGATCAAAGCCCAGGCTGGGCCCTGCTCCCCGACCCGTGGGGATCCTGAAGAACTCACTGGCCCAGCTCCCTTTCCTACAATGCCAGTTTGGGCTATTTTCCCCCAGTGACCCACACTGATTGCTGGAAAGTGGGCAGCTGCTGTGAGCCCCCAGAGCCCAGCTCAGGCCCTGGCTTGCCTCCCCGCTGCATTGTGCAGCCATATTTGGGGATCTACTTTTCTTCCTTGGAGAATCTCCTTCCTCCAATCCCTTCAGCTTTCCCTATCTTCAACCTCTCCCTCTTTGATGGCTCCTTCTCATCAGCAAATAGCTTTGCTGTTTTTGAAAAACAGAAAGCCCCCCTTTAGCCCCAAATCCCTCTCCAGCTTCCCCTTCTCAGCCAACATTTTTGAAAAAATTGTGTACACACAGTTCCACTTCCTCACCAGGCCCCTGCAGTCTGGCTTCCTCCCCCATGATTCCACAGAAACAGCTCCTCAAGGTCACCGCTGACCTTCTTGTTGCTAAATTCAAGGGATGCTTGGGAGTCTTTATCTGATGTGACCCCTTAGCAGTGACTGACTTGGACACAGTCAAAAATACTCCTTCCTAGGGCCAGGGATTTAGCTCAGTGGTTTCGCAGCCTGCTGTGCAAGCGCAAGGACCTGAGTTCGATCCCCAGTACCAAAAAAAAGAAAAAAAAAATACTCCCTCCTGTTTGAGATACTTTTGGGCTCTTGTTTTGGGACACTGTGCACTCTGGATTCTCTTGCTATCTTACCAGCTGCTGCATGGCAAGTTTCTCATCCTCTGCTCACTGGCCAATTTGTGGCTTTTCCTGGGCCCTCTACAGTTTGTGCCTGGGAGTCTCATGGCATCCAGTTTGTGTAGAGACGCTTCTGTCTTTCAGCACAGCCCCACCTTATACCTGCCTCTCAAGCCCTCCACAGGACATCCCACCTCACAGCAAACGACCACATTTGCCCTCCCTTCCATGTTCCCTAGCCTGGCCATTTTCCAGTTGCCTGAACTCAGCAGGCTTGGTTTTAGACTCTGGACAACCCCCACTTTTTTTCCCCCCAGTACCTGCAATCAAACTCAGGATCTTGTGCTTGCCAGGCAGACAAGGCACCACTGAGCTAACTCCCTGGCCCTTTCCCCCTTTTTTTAGATAGGGTCTTGCTATGTAGTTCAGGGTGGCCTTGAATTCTCTATGGAACCCAGACTGGCCTCGAACTTGTAGTGATCCTTCTTCCTCAGCCTCCCAGCCTCCCTGGGATTACAGGCCTGTGCCACCATGCCTGGTTGTCTCTCCCTTTTGATATTCAAGCAGTTACAAAATCCTGTTCTCTCCAGGATTTATCTAGAATCCTATTGGTTAGCTCCATTTTCACTACCCACACCAGGGCTGGGGATGTAACTTAGTGGTGCTGTGCCTGCCTGGCAAGCAGAAGATCCTGAGTTCAATTCCCGGTACCAAAAAAAAAAAATCATTACCCACACCTGGTCAAAGGCCCCATCACCTTGCACCTGGGGGGCTGCACCGGCATCCTGCATCTCCCTACAGCCACCCTAGATCCCATATGTGACCTTTCCCTACAGGGAAACCAGGGTTGTTCTTCCAAAACATAAGTACAGCGTCTCAGCACCAAGTCACACACACAACATCCTAATCCCAGTGCTGGGACATTCCCACTCCCACGTCTTTGCCTGAGTAATGCTTCTTATCCTTCAGTTCAGGTATCAGTTCCTTATGAGAGCCATTCTCCTTCCCTGACCAGGCCAGGTAGCTTTGCTAGTGCTTCTGCAGCACCACGACCTCACTTCCGTGGACTTGTCAAGCAGTCATTCTCAAGCAAATCTGCAGACTCCTGAGCCCTCCTGTTCCGGGCACTGGGAATGTCAGGATGAATATTACACAGCTCTTGCCCTTAGTTAATTCATAGCTAAGCATTAAACATGGAGCAGCAACATGTGGGACAAGCAGGTGCTATGGGAGGGGATGTGGTCAGGGGAGCCTTATGACGAGTGACAGATGCCTGAAGGGTAAGTGGGGTTCCGAGGAAAGCTGTTCCAGCCAGACACCTAAAGATGGGAAACATGCTTTGAGAGGAGCTGAGTGGTAGTCAGTGTGGCTGAACAGGTGACATGAAGCCATTGGTGAGATTTAAATAGGAGTGACATGGTAGGGTCCTGGTTTCTGTGGATTGGAGGAAGGAAGGAAGGAAGGAAGGAAGGAAGGAAGCAGGGAGATGGGTCCGAGGGTTTCTGGAGGAAACTGATGGCTAGGGGAAGGGCCTTACTCAGTGGGTGGGGGTGGAATCGGGGTACAATGAACTGTGGTAGCCTGGACTGGAGGTTGGGAAAGAGAGGAAATGTGAATGGCTCTGGTCCTCCTGCCCCAAGAGTGGGTGGGGAGGTGGCAGTGGAGCCAGGACACCTGTCTCTCTTTGGTGTCCAACCCCTCGCCTACCTGGTGTCTGATGTCCCCCCGTGGTCTCTCATCCACCCTTTTTTCCCAGAGGACCAGACAGGCTCTGGGGTTGAAGGCAACTGAGATGGGCTAGTGCAAGGCAGAGAGTAGGGGAAAGAGGAAGTTAGCCCGGATGTGATGGGGCTTCAGAGAAAGTGGTATTTAGGGTTTCATCAGAGTCTGGAAATTCCACTGTCTCTGGCTCCACCCCAAGACCCCAATCCTCAGATGCTTAAATCCTGGGGCTCAGTCCTTGGAAATCCTGGCTCCTCTAGGTGCTATAAGTCTGTATCTGAAGGGTCACAGCCCCCTGACAGGTCCTATGATGGTAAGCTGACATCAGTTAGTCAGGTGAACTTCCTGTGGACCAGTCCCTGAGCCTGTTACCTGCATGATGCCATCCAATAATCACCACAACCCTAGAGGCATCACTTGTCCCCACTGTACCTGTGAGCCTTCAAGGGGTTAAGGAACTCGTTCAAATTCACACTGTGAGGGTGAGGCAGAGTGAGGATTTGAACTGAGGTTTGACTGACATCAGAGTCTGCTTTTAACTCCTGTGCTATATTAAGCCTGTCGACCCCATGGTTGATTGGCTCAGTAGGGGGAGGAGGCTTTGTGGGGGATTTGCTTGTGGTTGGGGTGGCTGCCCCCCTCTCATATCAAGCGATGGGAAAGGGTAGTGCTGACGTCAATTGTTGCCGTGGCAATAGAGCAACCCTTTCCCTGCTGTCTCCATGGTAACCTGGGGGGTCCATCTGTACTTCGCCCCCTCCTTCTAAAAAGGGGGTCCCTTAGGGAGGGGCCACCTAATAAGGTATCTGAAAAAGAAGGCAGAGAGGCAGTGATTTGAACAAGCCCTTTCTCTGGGTTCTCCATTGTGCAGGCCCAGAGAATAAGGCTGGGACCTGGAGGTCTGGCACCAGGGTCTGAGGACAGCATACCCCAAAGGATGAAGGGGGCAGCTCCTCCTTTCCCACCCAGGCATTCTTCTGGAAACCCTCAACCCCTAACCCCAAATTCATAGGCCTCTGAGCAGAACTGCTGGAAAACTGACAGAGCAAGATAAGAAGGTTTCCTCAGGTCCCTGCAGGGCTACAGCCCAGCCCCAGGGGACAGAGTCCTTGGCTGGCTCTCTGCTGCCCAAAGGTTGGACAAGCAGCAGCTGGGGCCTCTCCCTCAAGTGGTGGAAGCTTCCTGGCCAGTACTGTGCAGACAGTACTGAAACCTCCCAGCATCATTAGCTTCATTTTCAGCTCTGGAAATGGAGGCTCAGAGAGGCTTAGGAATTAGCCAAAAGTTGTACAGTCAGTAAATGGCAAAGACAGAACTTGAACTCAGAACTGGAGATTAGGCCCGTGAAAAATGGAAAAAGAAACAGGATGGAAGAGTAGAAGAGTAGAAGAGAGGCAGGAGAGTGAAGTGACCTAGGTCAAGCCTGTTGTGGCACCGGGGATTTAGCTCAGTGGTGCTGCCACCTGCCCTGCAAGTGCAAGGTCCCGAGTTTGATTCCCAGTACCAAAAAAAAAAAAAAAAAAGAAAACCCTGTTGTACTACAAAACAAAGTTTAAACCCCTCAGCCTGGTTCCTGAAGGCTTTCTGCATCCAGCTTCTCCTATGTTAACCCATCCCTGGATTCGGGCATTAGGAATGGGCTCTCAGGATGTTGCATGCTCCAGAAAGGTGTTGGTAAAATCCAACTAAATTTCTGGAACTTGCCTTCTAATGTCCTGCCTCTGCGCCCTGCCCACAATGTTCCTGCTACCCAGAAGGCTCTTCCTCTTTGTTCATGGACATTCCAGAGCTAACCAGCCTAAGGGTCTGTCTGGCCCATGGGCCAGGTCTGGAATCTTTGTATGGCAAACCAAGCATGTGGGAGGTGGCAGTAGATTTTCTTTAAAGGAAAGGAGGATTGAGAAGAGGGGGTAAAAAAGAAGAGAAAAAGAATAATGGGGAGAATTCAGAAGTTTGAGGCTGGCAGGCTCCATAGTAGAAATTAGCATTTTGGGACTGCCTAGAAGAGCTTTTACTTTTTATTTATTTAATTTGAGGCAGGGTCTCACTATGTAGTTCAGGCTGGCCTGGAACTCACTATGTTTTTTTGGCACCAGGGGTTGAACTTCGAACCTTGCACTTGTGAGGCACGCACCAGAACCACTGAGCTAAATCCTTGGCCCTTGAATGCACTATGTAGCCCAGGCTGGCCTCAAACTCATGGTGATCCTCCTGACTCTGCCTCCCAAGTGCTGGGATTACAGGTGGAAGAGCATTTTGAGTGGAAATCAAGAAAGCTGTCCCTTGGCCTGGGGATTTAGCTCAGTGGTTTCGCTGCCTGCTGTGCAAGTGCAAGGTCCCGAGTTCGATCCCCGGTACCAAAAAAAAAAAGAAAGCCGTCCCTTTCTGGTGACCTAGGGGAGAGGTACTGAGTGAACTGTACTTACAGCTCTAGGGACAGTAGACTGAACCTGTCCTGTGGGTTATATATATTTTTTCCAACATAAGAATAATACAGACTGATTAAAGCAGAATTGGAATATGGATAATACTTGTTCAGGGGCTGGGATTTAGCTCAGTGGTTCCTCCGCCTTGTCATGGGCACTTCCTATGGATGGATGTACAAGTGTTGAGTCTTCAGACACTCAGGAGTATGTCAACATTGCCCACTGTTTGGGCAACTCTAGGCAAGTCTTTCAAGTCTTAGGTTCTTCACCTATAAATAGGAAGTTAAGAAATGTGGGCCTGGTGACACACACCTGTAATCCTAGTGCTTGGGAGGCTGACAGCCTGGGTAACATAGTGAGTTCAAGGATAGCCTGGGCTACATAGTAAGATCTTGTCTCAAAAAACAACCAAACCAATAAAACCAAAGAAAAGAAGAGAGAAAAGAAACCAGAGCACAAAATGGACGGAGGCAGCCCATTGTCCCTCCAACAAAGCCAGAATTGCCCAGGGTCACAAAAAGGCAGGTAGCAGAACCTAATTCTGGCTTGGGCCTGGTGTGGGTCTCTGTCTAAAAATGCCCACCTTTCCGTCCACTCTAATCCTAAACTCCCATGGGTCACCAGCACCCAGCACAGTAATTCGAATTTCACTGGCGAACCAATGACTAGGAAAGGGAGATGGACAACTGCAGGCCCCAAGAGAAAAGTCTGTGCAGGAAGGGGTCCAGACCAGCAAGAAATGGGGGGAAGGTGGGTGGTGGGGAGGCAACCTCGAAGGGCAGGTCCCAAGGGAAGAGGCAGCCCAAGGGAGAGTGTTATTGGATGGAGCGAATTTTGGTGGGCTTTGATACGACGGACAGACAGACGTACATGGCCAGTCCGGGATGGAAAGAACAGTTTATGCTGTACTTTATTAAAATGTGCATCATTCTTTTATTTTAAAATGTGCATCATTGTCGCGTGCTCGGCGCGTGGGGCCTCGTCCCGCCCGGCTCCCGCGGAGCCTTTGTGCACAGAGGTGCTCAGGTGTCGCGGGCCCGCGGGCTCCCGCCCATGGCCAGGTAGACGTCGATAGGCACGTGCAGCAGCGTCAGGCAGTGGCAGCCGGGGCAGCGTCGCAGCGGCCTGGGGAAAGCGGCGCGCGACACGGGGCGCTGAGGCGCGGGTCGGGCCCATGCTGTTGGGGCACACCGGGGAGGCACCTGGGGTCCTCTGGGACTGAGGCGTGGATCTGAGGACCTGGGATGGGAAGTGGGCTGGAGGGCGAGGCGCCGGCCTCACCTGACGGGGTTGTGCTCAGTAGCTACCGGCTCCGGGTTATCCTGGGACTCGGGGGCGGCGGCAAGGCCAGGAGAGTCTCCGGCCTCAATGGGGAATCTTCGACCCTGCGGGGGCTCCTGGGCACACATGTCCAGGCCCCGGGGCACTCTGTGCGGGGAGTGGCCGTCAGGCCGCTCTCGGGCGGCCGGGCGCCCTCTGCCTGGGCCTGTCCCCGGGGTCGCTGCACACCTGCCGGAGGCCGAGGCCGGTCCCAGGCTGGAAGCGGTTGCCGGAGCCTTGGCCACCGGAGGTCGCTCCGGTCCAGGCGGAGCCGGGCAGGTGTCGGCTGCTCGCCCAGGCCGGGTGGTGGAGGGGGAGGGCTGCATTGTGACCCGTGCATCGGCACTGACATCACAGAGCCTGTTCCGCCCGCCAGGGAACCCTCGCTGCCCCGGGCTACTCTGGCACTTAGCGCGGGGACTCAAGCTTGGGTGCTGCAGGCTCAGGCTATGGCGCCTGGCGACCGGATCACGCAGGCCCTCAGATCGGGGCGTAGGAGGCGGTGTCCACGAGGAGGAGTCAGGCATCCCCGGCCTATGCAGACACCGCGGGCTCTGTCCCCAGCTCCACTCTCTCGGCCTGCCTCGGGGAGTGGTGACTTAACCAGTGCTAGGCTTGGCGGTGGTAGGGCCGCTGCCCATTTTGGCAAGGGTCACACAGTATTTACATCACAATTGGGCCGCCTGTTAAAAATGTCTAGCCCTTTCCCTCTCCACCACCCGCGGCTGTGTCCGGAGGAGAATGTTCTAGCTCTGGGTCCGCTCTGGATGAAGTCCTTGGGGGAGAAGAGGTGCAGGCCAAGGGCGATGGTGAAGTAGAGCTGCCTCACTGAGGCAGCATGAGCTGAGAGGGTGAGAAAGGAAGGAGGCACCAAGACAGCATGGAGGACTTTCTGCTCTCCAATGGGTACCAGCTGGGCAAGACCATTGGGGAAGGGACCTACTCAAAAGTCAAAGAAGCATTTTCCAAAAAACACCAAAGAAAAGTGGCAATTAAAATTATAGACAAGATAAGAGGGCCAGAAGGTGAGCTGGGGCCCCTTTGGGGAAAGGGAGGGCTGGCTGAGGTAGGTGGGTGCTTCTTCCCCAGAAAACTCTTCCCTCCCCTTTAGTCAGCAGCCACGGAAAGCAAGTCAGACTATGGCCCTGAGGTAGGTCAGTAGGGAACCGAAGGATGGGAGTCCAAGAACATCACACCTCAAACCCAAGAAGAGAGCACAAGGTGAAGGGCCCTGAGCTTTTCCTATTCCAGGAGGGAACAGACACTGGCAGCAACCATTGGCAGGGCTGGCAGAGGGCAGGGACCAGCACCAAGGCAGGTGGAGATGCGCAAGAAGGGGACAGGGTCCTGGGAAGAGTTGGCTTTCCACCCTGTGGGCAGATCAAGCCTCCCCAGATCCAATGGCTTTTTTTTTTTCGGTACCGGGGATCAAACTCGGGTCCTTGTGCTTGTGCAGCAGGCAGCAAAACCACTGAGCTAAATCCCCGGCCCTAGGCTTTTTTTTTTTTTTTGGTACCAGGGATCCAACTCACAACCTTGGCTTGTGAGTCAGGCGCAGTGCCACTGAGCTAAATCTCTGGCCTGTTTTTTGTTTCTGAGACAGGGTCTTGCTATGTAGCCCAGGGTGGACTCAAACTAGGAGCAATCCTCCTGCTTCAGCCTCCCGAGGGCTGGGATGACAGGTGTGTGCCACCGCCACCAGGCTCTGAGACCCAATGGCTTTGTCTAAGGTCCCCTGATATCCATGGTCTCACAGACTGCTCACAATCCCTCAAGTTGGCAGGGAGTAGATCCTTTGAATATATATTAAGTACACAACTAGTAGTGAATATTCTTTGTAATGTCCAAGAGACACATATGAAAACTTATTTTTTTGTTTTTTGGTACCTGGGATCGAACTTGGGACCTTGTGCTTGCAAGGCAGGTGGCAGAACCACTGAGCTAAATCCCCAGCTCCTCTGATCTGTTTTTGATAGAGGGTTTATATAGTCCAGGCTGGCTTTGAATTCAGAGCAACCCTCCTGCCTCAGCCTCCCAAGTGCTGGGATTACATTCGTGTACCACAAGGCCAGGCTTGGGCCCTTCTGATCTTGCTAGTTTCTCTCCTCCCCTTATTTCCTTAGAATTTATCCAGAGATTCCTGCCTCGGGAGCTCCAGATTGTGCAAACCCTTGACCACAAAAACATCATCCAGGTATATGAGAGGCTGGAGTCCACTGATGGGAAAATCTACCTGGTGATGGAGCTGGCTGAGGGAGGGGATGTCTTCGACTGTGTGCTGAATGGAGGGCCACTGCCCGAGAGCCAGGCCAAGGCCCTCTTCTGCCAGATGGTTGAGGCCATCCGCTACTGCCATGGCTGTGGTGTGGCCCACCGGGATCTCAAATGTGAGAATGCCTTGTTGCAGGGCTTCAACCTGAAGCTGACCGACTTTGGCTTTGCCAAGATGTTACCCAAGTCACGCCGAGAGCTGAGCCAAACCTTCTGTGGGAGCACGGCCTATGCGGCCCCTGAGGTGCTGCAGGGTATTCCCCACGAAAGCAAGAAGGGCGACATCTGGAGCATGGGTGTGGTCCTGTATGTCATGCTCTGTGCCAGCCTACCTTTTGATGACACAGACATCCCCAAGATGCTCTGGCAGCAGCAGAAGGGGGTGTCCTTCCCTCCTCATCTGGATATCTCATCTGAATGCCAGGACCTGTTCAAGCGGCTCCTGGAAACAGATATGACCCTCCGGCCTTCAATTGAAGAAGTTAGTAGGCACCCATGGCTAGCAAGCACATGATAAATGTAATGGCAAGTCCTCCCCAATAAAGTAGGGGGAGAAAGCAAACCTAAAATCCGCTTCTAAAATGGTGATATATATTTTACATTTTTACTTATCCTAAAGCTTACCTACACCCTCCCCAGACTCGCTGTTCTTTCCCTCTAAAGATCTTCATGGCACCAAGGGCCTCATTCAGACTTCTTTTTTATTACCACTGGCAAGTGATTTTCATACAGGTGTTTAAAGTTAATTAAATTAGACCCCAGAATCATCCATACAGGGAGAAAAATGATCAAGAGCAACTGGAACCACGATTGCTGCAACTTCCTTTCCAAATAAAAGCAGAAGCGTTGGGAATGCAGAAACGGCCTCTAACTCCTTGTGTTGGTGAGAGGTCTGTTGGGGCCCCATCCCTTCCTCCTTCCAGAAGCCAGGCTGAGTCTGAGATGAGGACCAGGGACTTCCTCAGGGCCAGGCTGTATCCCCACCTGTGCCTCAGCTCCAAGTGGGAGGCCACCCCTGCAGTGTGTGCGTCCTGCCCAGGCTCCAGTGTGGCTGCCCCAGGGGACACAAACAGATCCCCAGACACCTTCTGGCTTCTGTTGGATCTCTTTAATGTTAACGCCAAGTCTGCAAAAGGTTCAGGACAAAGTTCTTTTTTCTCTCCTTTTTAATTACAAAACTAACAGCTGTTAGAATTTTTTTTTTCTTTGATTTTTTTTTTTCCTATTTTCTTTTCCCGGCTACAAAATACTCTGGGGAGATGCATTATAATTTAAAATATATAATATTGCACAAACAACCAAAAGGTTAATTAAACTAAAGAAATAATTACAAAGAGAAAAACCCCGTCCCATCAGAAAGAGACTCAGCATTCTCTCCATCCTACCCCTCACTGACGGTCTGAACCGGGAGTGCCCACCACTCTTCGGTGTCCCTGACCACCATCCCTCTTAGTCACTGTGGACACAGCTGCTATGTACAAGAATCAGCAGAGCAGCACTGCGAAGCACCAGGGTCTCCAGGAATCTCTGTGACCCTCACTGCCCCAAGAGAGGTGCAGCTTCACCAGAGTGCAGGGTGAGAGCCACAGACTGGCTCTGTCTCTAGGAAGGGAGCCTTTGCAGAAGCCTGCCAAGTGCCAGGGCGTTTCCCCAGCACGTCCCCTCTGAAGCAGAGGGGAGAGGCAGAGAAGCTGGCCTTTCCAGGCTATAAGTGGTTGCCTTTGCTCACTGCTCCATACTGCTGGGAGCTGCCTTGCGCCCTAAGCTACAGGGGAGTTGAGGTGGGTAGCGCTTGGACCAGGTATTCTGCCAGGCAATGCACAGGAGGGCCTGAAGTGGCCTCGTCCCCTCTTGGGGAGAAAGAATTGCAAGAGTGGACCCTTACAGTGGCACAGCTGGGCTAAGGACTTGGGTGCATCTGACATGAAGAAGCCCTGGAAACTGTGGGGGCATCCCCATGTGGGCAGAAGAGAAGGAAGGAGGTGAGTTCTGGCTTGGTCTCTAGATTCTGAACCCCGAGGAGCCTTTCCAGGAGTGGAATATGGTAGAAGGGGGAGATTCCCAAGAGAGGCAAATTTCCCAGAAATGAGTGCCTCTTACACACTGGAATAGGAATCAAATTATGCTTGCCCACCCTGTTTAGCCAAGGGCAGGTGGCACGGCGTCCTTGCCTGCTTAGGAGTGGACAATGTATTGTCTCTGCTTCCTTGAAGAGACTGGTGGTTAAACTTCTGTCTGCACGCAGAAGGGCCAGATTTGTCCCTGGGACTTTGCAGCAAGAGTCCCCAAGAGCAGTGGGGGTTCAGTGGAGAAATGTAGGCTGTCGGTGAGGGCGTGTCATCCCCATAGATTATCCTAAGGTTGGCACAAGTCAGAGTTCTGGACTTGGATTTAGAGAGCCCCTTCCCAGGTGTGAGCAGAGGCCAAAGGGCCAGCAGGGAGTCACCAGAAACTGTGCCCAGAGCTTGGGATGGCAGAGGCCATTTGGGGGACATTCTCAGTGTCATCCTGGACTGGGCTGAGATGAGCCAGGGAGGTGGGAGGTATCGTGGTGGGGGAGCTGCTCACCTTGGCTCCCCTTACTCCCAGTCCTCCCACTCCACATCTTCCAGCTGCAAATGAGAGGGGAACAGAGAGCACAAACACACACTTACTCCTTTGTGTCCAGCCCAGACCCAACCTCCCTGGCTGAGCAGAGCTGCCTCCATTTCTGGGTTGATGTCGCCAACTCCTACCCTGGGCCATACCCTGTCCTGCCGTGAGAGTGAAGCCTTAGTCTTAAGGAGTATGTGTGGGGTGCAGAGCTGCCTCTCCCTGGGGGCTGGGCTTGCTATCCAGCTGATTATTCAGACCCAACGGAAATGCTTCCACCACCAACACTGGACTCTGCCAGGGGATGCCCTGCCCAAGGAGGGAACATCGAAGTCCCCTGAGGACCTATCTTCCACTGAGCAGATTAATGTCATGCCTGTGAAAGACAGAGTGCCACTGTGACCAAAAGCAGGGCAGCAGTGGCCCATAGGTGCTTGGAAGATCTTCACAGGGCCTCAGTACTCTAATGCCCAGCTGAAGTCTCCCCAGAGAATGTTCCTTTACCTTGTAACTCAGCCTGCTGTCAGCCGCTCCCTAGTACAATGGGTTACAGAAGGACTCTGTTAAGGTATATGTTGTGTCAGGTTTTTTGTTTGTTTGTTTTGAGACAGGGTCTCACTATGTAGTTCAGACTGGCCTTGAACTCATCATGTAGCCCAGAGTGTACCACCATGCCCAGGCATGTGTCAGGTTTTAAAGAAGCCTGCAAGCTAGGTGTGGGGCACATGGCTGTAATTCCAACACTGTGGGAGGCTGAGGCAGGGGATCACAAATTCAAATCTGGGCAATTTAATCAGACTCAGTCTCAAAATTTAAAAAGGGCTGGGAATGTAGCTTAGCATAAAGGACTTGAGTTCAATTCTCAGTACTAGGGGCACAATGGTACATGGCTATAATCTCAGTGTTCTGGGAAGCTGAGGCAGGAGGATCACAAGTTTGAGGCCAGCTTAGGCAACTGAGTATCTTAGGGAGACCTGTCTCCAAAACAAAACAAAACAAAAAAAGGCTAGAGATGTATATAGCTTAGTTCAAAGGCCCAGTGTTTGTTCAATCCCCAGTTACACACACACACACACACACACACACACACACACACACACGGAAGGTGGATATAAAGACAAAAAGCTAGGAAGCATCTGTGGCATGATAGGGTACCATGGGCTTTCTATGCCCTGGGAAACGTGAGGTCATAAGAAACAAAATATTTTTTCTTCTTTGTGGTACTGGGGATTGAACCCAGGATCTTGTGCATGCTAGGCAAATGCTCTACCACTAAGTGACATCCCCAATCCTTTTTGCTTTTATTTTGAGAAAGAGTCTTGCTAAATTGCCCAGGCTGGTCTTGAGCTTTCTTTTGATCCTCCTGAACTTAGCCTTTTGAGTAGCTGAGATTAAAGGGGTGTGCCACTATACCCAGCCGAAATACTCTGAAGCAGATCATGGCCTCCCCTGGACTATAGTTTGATAATATGAAAAACCAGCTCCTGCGTGTGTTTCTCTAATTTGCCTTCCTCTTGTTTTGGTGATGCTGGCAACTGGACACAGGTCCTTGTGCAAGCTAGGCAAGTGCTCTGCCGCTGCACAACACTTCAGATCAGCACCTGTATTTCTAAGCAGTTCCTTAGGTGATCGGGATGGACACAGAGTTAAAAGTCAAGAACTCTCCCATCCATCTACCACTGAACCAATGGGAAGCAGCTTGCTGATGACAACTGTCATGGGCTTACTCGGGAGTGGGGGCCAGCGCCCTTCCTACAGCCGACACCTGGTGGAGAGGGTTCTCAGACCCTAGCATCATGCGGCTGGCTTGCCTGTGGCCAACCAGACTCACTCACCTCACCAGAGGCGTCCACTTTGGAAAGGGCCATTTGTACTTCTTCTTCGGTCATGTCCAAGTCAAAGTCCTTCTCCCAGTCCTCACTGATGTCCGTGCTTGAGCCTGGAACCATGAGCCAGAGCGTGAAATGCAGGAGGGGGCAGAGAGAAGGAACTAAAGAGGTTTAGTTGGGGTGACAGCAATCTTTAACAGGGATGACAAGGTGCAACAAAGCCTCTGTAATCTACTTTCATTCTCGCTATGCAAGCTCACATTTAGGAGTCTAAGAAAAATTCCTGGATTTAGTAAAAAAATTTAACCTTGCTGGGGATTTAGCTCAGTGGTTCTGCAACCTGCCTCGAAAGCACAAGGTCCCGAGTTCAATCCCCGGTACCAAAAAAACCCAAAAAACCCCCGCAAATGGGCTGGGGATTTAGCTCAGTGGTTCCACTGCCTGCCTTAAAAGGACAAGGTCCCGAGTTCGATCCCTGGTACCAAAAAAAAAAAAAAAAAAATTTAGCCAAAGGATGTTAACTGTTGTGACTCAGAAACAATCTCAAAGTCCACTGATAGAAAATTAGAAAAAATGATTACATGATGGAACATGATGTGGCTTTTTTTGTGGCACTGGAGACTGAACCCAGGGCCTTCACATTGAGCTACATCCCTGGCAGGTAAACTTTTTTTTAAAGACTAAGTCACTGAGTTGTTCCAGCTGCTTTCAGCTTGTGATCCTCCTGCCTCAACCTCCCCGAGTGCTGGGATTACAGGCCTGTGCCACCACTCCTGGCTTGATGTGGTTCAAAGAATTTTATATCCATGGCAAAATATTCTTAAACTATTAAGTGAGGAAAAACCAGTTTACTAAAGAGTGGAGAAGCTGGGTGTGGTGGTACATGCCTATCATCCCAGCTACTTGGGAGGCTAAAGCAGGAGAATCACAAGAGGATGACAAGTGTGAAGCTAGCATTGACAACAAAGTGAGATTCTGTCTCACAAAACAACAACAACAACAACAACAACAACCACAACAACCACCACCACCACCGCCCTACGTCTGGTGGTACACCAGCACTCTGAAAGGCTGAGGCAGGAGGATCACTGGGAGTTTGAGGCCAGCTTGGGCTACATAGTGAGCTCAAGGCCAGTCTGAACTATATAGTGAGACCTTCTTAGAAAAAAACCAAAAACCAAACCAAAAACACCCCACAAGGGCTGGGGAGGTAGTTGAGTGGTAGAGGACTTTCCTTGCTTGTAGGAGACCCTGGGTTCAATTTTCAGCCTCACAAAAAAACAAACAAAAGAGAGTAGAGCATTCTGGCCCAATGGCCACAGGGAGCCACAGAAATCTACCAGAAGCAACAAGGATCCTCTTCCTCCTCATCCCATTCTACCTGCACTGACCTGGCTCCTCGCTCCTCCTGAGTCACCAGGCACACCCACCTTGGCTAGTAATTCCCTGTACTGGGAACTGTTCTTCAGTTATCCACAAGGCCAAGTTCCCCACCCACTGCGTACCTCTAGCAGATTTCACCTTCTGTGTGTGGCCTACCTGAGTAGCCTATTTTAAATTGGAACCTACCCCCTTTACTCTGCTCTTTTTTCATCGTATTTATCAATTTTTAACACATTACATCAGATTTTCTATGCTTTTTTTTTGGAGACAGGGTCTTGCTATGTAGTTCAGGCTGGCCCTGAACTCACTATGTAGCCCAAGCTGGCCTCCTCCTCCTGCTTCTGCCTCCTGAGTGCTGGGCTTACAGGTGTGCACCACTACACCTGGCAAGTATGCTTATTGTCTAATTACAAAGGAACTAGAATGTGAGCTCCAAAAGGGCAGGATCTTTGTTTTTTTTGTACAGGCGATAGAACTCGGGACCTTATGGTTGCGAGGCAGGCATGTGCCATTGAGCTAAATCCCCCGCCCCTGATTTGTTTTCTTTTTTTTTTTATGCTGATCTGTTTTCTTATGCACTCCTAGTGCTTAGGACATGGACTTGGCACCCAATAATGTTTTTTGGGGGGCTGAGGATTTAGCTCAGTGGTTCTGCCACCTGCCTCGAAAGTGCAAGGTCCCGAGTTCAATCCCCGGTACAAAAAAGAAAAACAAATAATAATAATAATTTTTTTTTTTTCCATAACAGCGATCGAACTTAGGACCTTGAGCAGCACCCAATAAATATTCACAGACCGTTTTTCTAAAATAGTGGTTGGCAAACTATGGCCTGTGGATCAAATCCAGCCTACTGCCTTTCTGGGAATAAACTTTTGGAACACAGCCATGTCCACTTGTTTACATGTGTCTGTGGCTGCTCTCATGCAGCAACAGCAGGGCTCAGCAGGGTCAACAGAGACCATGTAGCCCAAGAAGTCTACAGTGTGTGTGATCTGGCCCCACACCAACCGTTTACCAACTCCTGCTCTAGGTGATTCTAATGCCAGCTACAGTGTGACCATCACTGCTCTAAACATTCTATCTGGATATGACTTATAGGCAATATTAAAAACACATAAGTGAAAGTTATCAGTAAGAAGCAAAGTACACCTGGGTGTGGTGATGGCTTGTAATACAGGAAATCTGGGAGGCTGAGGCAGGAATATCACAAGTTCAAGCCCAAATGAAGCAACACAGTGAGACCC